TTTCCTCTCCGAGTTGTGTAACACTCAGGGAAACAAATACATTTTCTCATTGCTCATTTAAAGTGAGAGAATGGGGCTGGGGGAGCTGTCCTGTTTAGTGGAGAAAAATGTGACACACCGATGTCAATTATTATAATCTCTCCAAACAGAGACATTATTTGGACATAGAAGCTATAAGCAACTATAGCCCCATAACAACAACAGACACACATTTTTATAAGCTGCGTTCCATTTGGTTGTGCTGGCAAGGGTGGGGAGACCCTTAGGAGACGACCCGCTCTACCACCTGAGCCACAGCCGCCCACACTGACTGAATATCGCCCCAAAGAGCCCAGATACCAGGACATCATCATAACTGTAAATACTACAGACCCATCCATACTTTCTTGTTTAATGAGAATTACTCATTTTCATTCAGAGATTCATGAAGCACATCTGCCTCATCTTCAGCCACAATCTTTTAATATGTTCCCCTTTTTCATGACTCTCTAGCCCTGCTTCACCCTCTGTGTCTGTCGCATGTTGAGTCGAGTGATAGTCTTCTGCATGGCAGGCCCATACGTGGTCTGCAGGCACAGCAGGAAAACTCATGAATAACATTAGATGGGTTTCATTAGAAACACACAGGAGGCTTAATAAAAAAAACAAACTTTCTTTCACAACAAACCCCTTCTCTTCCTCTCAATGTCATACTCCGTTTTCCTCGGGCCATTCATTTCCTTATTTGCTTCCATGCACCATCACTCTTACAGCTAAATATCTTCATTACAAAAACACTACCAGCAATCTGATTATCAATTAAGTTGTGTACCTGGCAAAAATGTCACACATTTGCTGATTTCATCTTCTCATATGCAAGGATTTGATGTGCTCCCCCTTGTGTTAAATGGATTTTTAAGTGGAGTATCTTTGGCTTTTTGACTGCTGGTGGGAGAATATGAAGACACCACCTTAGGTTCTAGGAAACTGTAACAGTCATTTCCTGACATTTTACTGACTAAACAATCAATCAAGTATAATAACCCCCACGTTAACTGATACTGAGAACACCTGTCAGCTCCGGTCCCAATCACGGTCTCTGTAATAATTACAGTCATCATGTACTGCCTCACTCTGCACACACTGACTAATAGAAAAGAAACATTAGATTCAACGTGTCACTAATTGCAAATAATAGAAAACTGGTTAATTTTGCTCAAATTAAACCTTATGTTTGTAAATAATTAAATAAGTGTATAATTACAAAGTAAAACAGCATTTTTTTTCCATTTAACTACGAAACTATGTAAGATATTAGATACTGAAGTGCTGCGCCAATCAAAAAACATTTTATAGGTACATGCCGAGTTTTCCTTTGTTCCTCAAAACCAGAAGTGAAAGTAAACCAAGTACATTTACTGATGTACTGTGCTAAGGAACATGTACTTAATTTGAGTATTTTGATTTTTTTCTGCTACCTCACATTTCAGTTTCACTACATTTTAGAGGCAAATATTGTACTTTTCACTACACTACATGTAATGTAAGTTACTTTACACAAATCAGATGAATAAAACAAAATATAGTATAATCATCAGATTTCACAGATTCTCGTGGGGAATTCACAAGCAGTGCTTCAAATGATAAGTACGCAAAGTAGTTAACATTAGCTTCACCTACAAAAGATGCAACATTAAATATGATGGACACAATAATGCATCAATTATAATCCAGTAATATGATTTTAATGTGAAATGTGCCATTCTGGATAATGAGCACTTTTTATTTTGGTACTTTAAGTAAATTTTGATGCTAATATGTTTGTATTTTTATTTAAGCA